TCTCCATCTAGCATGTTGGCGTAGTCTATGGTTATTGCTGCTATTGCCACTTTAGCTGTTATTGCATGTCGTGGTACGCGAGTGTGTGCGTGTGAGTGTGCGTGTGCCCGCTAAGAGCACCGGCCTTTTTTCATCGCGATCGTCATGCTTACGGTGTGTAACTTTTCTAACCTGTGCCGCCAGTCTTCGACCAGCCAGTAGAACAATGCTGCGGAGGAAGCAGGGCGTTTGTGTACGTGTGCATGTGCGTGCCATCGGCGGCTTCGCTTCGAAAAGGTGTGTGCAGGTGTGTGTCGATCCCCCTGGCGCGCCACGTCCTGAAGCTCCGCAGAAACAACAGACCGTGAGCCGTAAACTGAGCTAGCCGTCCGGCCAGCGGGCCACTGAGGCCCCCAACATCTAGTCAGACCCGCGCCGACTAGCAGGCTAAGCCCCCAGGCTCGCACCCGAGGTGGGATGGAGGCCTTGCAGGAGCTTCTCGCGGCGTCTGCGCCGCTCGCGCTCCGCAGGGCTACACCTGTCGAGAGGCGGGAGGGGGCCCGGGCACAAGCCCTTCAGCCTCTTGGCACCCCTCTCTGCGGAGACGTACGCCCCGCACCGCCTGCACAGCACAAACGGGCTACGCAAGACCAGCTCATGGGCGTTATCCGCCACGGGGCTGGGGTCTGCAGGAAGACCTGCCGGAGGCTGCTCCGGGCCTCGTCCAGCACCACCCTCCCCCACACTCACCGCCCCCCCACCCTCGACTGAAGCAGCAGCGGGCGGCGGCGCTAGAGGAGGGGAAGCAGAATTGCTCTTTTCCCTCGACGGCGGCACCATGCGCGCACGACGCTGCAAGGCTCTAAGTGGCGCCTCGTTCACCTCGGACGCCGCCTGCCGGAGGTCGCACCCCGCGAGGCTGCGGGAGGAGTCGGAGGTTCCACCAACGACCTGCCTAGCAGAAGCGGCCATTAAGGAAAAAGCCGGTCTTAAGTAACATTTCCGCCCCTCGCTCTCGTCAGCGCCATCCTCGGCCGGCAGCTCCCCAGGCTGGTGCGCCGCGGCCGCTCCTCTGAGGCGCGGGAGCTCCCGGGAGGCGGCGGCGTCGCCTCGCACCTTGGCCCGCTGGCTTGGGGGCTTTCCAGCAGCTCCGTCAGCATCATCTGGTGCCCTTTTCCTGCCGACGCGACGCGGCCTAGCCGCTGCTGGCGGAGCAGCGGCAGCCGACGCCTGCCCAGCCGCAGCCACGGCGGCCCCGGCAGCCAGCGCCCCGGCCAGTGCTGGCACCTCCATGCCGCGGCCAGCGCTGACGTCTGCAGCATCATCGTCTCCCCGGCTGGCGTTGCCACTGCCAGCCACGCCATCAGCATCACCTCCAGCCGGCGCTGCACGGGGGCGCGCCGCGGACGCCATAGCCTGCTCCGCCTCGGGGAGCGCCTCGGGCTCCGCCTCTGCAGGCACCAGTCCGGACGTCCAGACCGTTACGGGGCCTGCCGCCTCCACGAGCATCAGCTCGTCGTCCGCAAGCTCCTCAATCAGCCCGGCACTGGCCTGGGCAACATCCTGCGGCGGCGCCTCCAGGGCGAGCGTACCCGGCGCGAGCCACCCGTCACCCCCGCCCGACAGCGGAGCGGGGGCGTCCTCCGTGGGCGCCATGCCAGGTCCCCGAGCGGCCTCCAATAGGTACTTCACCTTGCGCTGCTGGGCCTCTCGCTGGTCATCGCCCTCGGCCTGGTCGCCGAAATAATGAGAGGGCGTCGTGCTCCCGCTGACCCTGCTTGCTGCAGCCGCCTGCAACCGGGAGAGCGCCGTGGCCCTGCAGGGCTGGCAGTCGAGCCGGCGCTTGCTCTCGTAGGTCGCTGCCGTGCAATTGCACCGCATGCAGCGGATGGTGCCGTTCTCCTCCACGTAGTCGTGTTGGATGATGATAATTTGCGGAGTTCGGGCCGCCTTGACACGAGGCGGCAGCTTCGGCTCGTGCTCCTGAGGTTCCCACGCCTGGGTCTCAGAAATGCGGCAGACTCCCCAAGCCATGAACTTCGCCATGTTGATCGCGTCTTCCATGCGGCGCTGGAGCGTCTTCGCGAAGTCCGGGGAGATGGCGACCGAGCTGACGCCCAGCTGCGCGAACCAATCGGCCCAACGATTGCCTATCCAGTGCATCGGGTCGATGTCGGTGCGCCCCATCAGATCCTCCACCGTCTTGTGCGCAGGGCACCAGAGAAAGGCAGGCGGCCTTCGAGCCTGGACCACGTTGAAGATATCCCTCCAAAGCTTAGCATGACGGCCGCTGGAGCCCGCGGCCTGGGGGTCCCACGCGTTGCCCTCATCGGCGAAGCCCTGCAAGTCAGTGACGAGCAAGGTGAGGTTGGGATTGGCGCGCAGAGCTTGGAGGCCAGCGTGCCGCTCTGCCCGTCCCGTGGTCTGCCACCGCCCCGGAAGGCTCCCGAAACGGGCCCGCACGGGCCAGCCCTGGGCGTCGATGCACACGATCGCCCACCCGCATTGCCGCACCTCCTCGACTGTGTGCAGGTGTGTGTGTGTGTAGGTGTGTGTGTGAGCCTGTGTACGTGCGTTGCCATGCATTAGTCTCAGGGTGCCTTGCTTCCACGGCTTGAATTCAGCCGCGCGTCTGGGGAAACAGTGTGTGTGTGTGAGTGTCCTCTGCGGTGTCGCTGCGAGCGCGGCCGCGAAGCCAATCAGATTGTGTATGGTTTGTGCGTGTGCTCGCTTTTCGGCACGCGACTGCCACCACCCAGTCCACCCATTTGCTACGCCATGTGGAATTTATTCGAAGCGTAGCCCGGCTCAGAGCTTCGCGACGGTGCCGCGATCTCGCCATTGGAGAGCAAAGTATGGATTCGCCGACTCGGTTGTGCTGCCTCCTGGGCGCATCTGGTCCACCTTGTCTCCTCGTCGTGTCTCTCTCTCATCACGTCTGGAACCGCTATCGCGGCATCCCCGAGGGGGACGGTCCATCTGCTGTTGACGCCGCGTCTACTCTTCCTTCTGGCTCTAAGTCATGCGTTGTCGTTCGTTTCTCGCCCTCTTTCCCTCTCCCTCTCGGTCTCTCTCTCTCTCTCTCTCTTTTTCTCTCTCCTCTACCTGGTCCGGCCTCCTCTTGTCCTTCGTCCTTGTCGTCTCAGATCTTCCCATTTCCTCGGTTTAGTCTGTTTGGTGATGACACTCGATTCGGCCCATGTGTTTTTTTTATCCTCTTGCACAGGGTGTCTAGAGCTCCGACCGCTTTGTATCAGCACGGCACCGAGCCCCCCCATCCCGCGCGCCACATCCGCATCACCCCGCCCACCAGCCAGCGCGCCCCCTCCGCCCCGATTTTTCATTTCGGCACGGTGCCGCCCCCCCCTCCCCTTGCCGCGCGCCCCCTTCGCACCACCCCACCCACCAGCCAGCGCGCCCCCTCCGCCCCGACCTTTCGGCACGGCACCGCCCCCCCCCCCCATCCCGAACGCCCCCTCTGCGTCGCCCCGCCCACCAGCCAGCGGCCCTCCGAGTCCTCCCACCTACCAGCCGTGCGCCCCGTCCGGCCCGCGCCCCCCTCCGCATCCCCCCACCCACCAGCCAGCACGCCCCCGTCCGCCCCGACCCCTGTATTTCGGCGCGGCACGGCCCGCTCCGGCCCGACGCTTCTTATTTCGGCACGGCACGGCCCCCTCCCCCCCCACATCCCAGACGCCCCTTCCGCATCGCCCCACCCACCAATCAGCGCGCCCCCACCGCCCCGACCCCTGTATTTCGGAACGGCACCGCCCCCCATATCCAGGGGCCCCCCTCCATCACCCCATCCACCAGTCAGCGCGCTCCCTCCGTCCCGATCCTTTCTATTTCGGCACGGCACCGCCCCCCCCCATCCCGAGCGCCCCCTCCGCATCCCCACACCCGCCAGCCAGAGCGCCCCCTCCGCCCCGACGTTCTGACTTCCACACGGCACCGCCCCCCCAGCCCGCGCTTTTTCCGCATCGACCCACCCACCAGCTGGCACGCCCCCTCCGCCCCGACCCCTTGATTTCGGCACGGCTCCGCCACGCCCCGACCCCTTACGATAGGCATTCCGCATCCTCCCACCTGCCAGCCAGCGCGTCCCCTCCGGCCCGCGCCCCCTCCGCATCCAACCCACCCACCAGCCAGACTCTGTACGCAAAACGACTGCCCTGGACAAGCGTTCTCCGTGCAAGGCCGCAACATGCGGCACTCTGCACCGCGAGCATCCAGCAGCCGGGTTTGCTCCCAAATTTCTTGGGGCCTTCCTTGGACCTTGGAGGCTCCAGGGAAGCCGTTTCAATGTCTTCTGTGGTTGGCCGGGGGGGGGGGTACGACCATTTGTGGGCTTCTTGGGTTTCTGTTGGAGGTCTCTTGGGAGCATGTTGCAGGTCTTTGGGGCCATCTTGTGAGGGACGGCCCTTCGCGCCTCCTCAATATTGCCCTCTGAAGCCCCTCTTGCGGCCCTTTCCAGGCCCTCCTTCTCCGATTTCTCGTCCCCTCTCCCCCCCACCCTCCTCCACATCCTCCTCCTCCTCCTCCTCCTCCTCCTCCTCCTCCTCCTCCTCCTCCTCCTCCTCCTCCCCCTTCGTTTCTGTGCATGGGCCATGACACGCGTGCCGTTTGCTTTGTTGGCACGTTGCAGCCAGTTTTACTTCGGATTCCACGGCGTCGGCGTGTCCCCGGCCGCCGTGCGTGCGATTACAATTTCCTCCACCGCTGCTCAGTCGCTCCTGATCGACTGTACTCAGGAGGAGTAAAAACACAGACACAATTAATTGTCGATTCCCCAGACAATATGGGACACTATGGGCAGTGGGGGGAAGATAATCCAGAACGTATGCGAAAATATGGGGAATCCTTGTACTTGTGTGTATTTATTTGTGTGTCCCAGGGCCCCTTCATGTAAGTGCAGTGCCGTGGAGGAGCGAGGTGTGTGTGTGTGTGTGTGTGTGTGTGTATGTGTGTGTGTATGTGTGTGTGTGTGTTTGTGTGTGTGTGTGTGTTTGTCGCCGCCCAGCATGGCCTGGCACTTCGGCCCTGGCCGCGAACCCGCCCCAGCTCGCGCACCCCGCACCACACCGCCACCATCCTCCCCCCCCCCACCCTCCACCTCCTCTTCCTCCTCTTCCTCCTCCTCCTCCTCCTCCGCCTCCTCCTCCTCCCCCTCCCTCCCTCCCCCTCCTCCTCCTCCACCCCCCCCACCCCTCCACCCGCGCATGGTGGTGTGCCCACACTCCCATTAGCAGCGCGCGTGCGTATCAGTGTGAGCAGTGCGTCTTCTGTGCGGCCATTGGCACTCGCTCTGTGCGCATCATCATCGTGGTCTCCCTGGTCCCGTTCCGTCGTCCTCTCGACGTGCCTCTTCCAGTCCACCAAGAATGATGTTTCGTATGTTCGTCTTGGGCGCTCAATGGAAGCCGAGCTTCGTGGGCAGGATGCGTTGGCCTGCAACGCATGCGCAACATGGACACTCTCTTCAGGTTGCACCATCCCGTGGCACATCTGCCTTCGTCCTCTTCGCCATTCGATGCGCGTCACGAGCACCACCGTAGCGTGTCGCCTGGCAATGTTTCACGACAACCTGGAAGCAGATGTCCGGCGATTGGTGTGCACGGTCCCAGGAGGCCGCGAGGTGGCGCACGGCCCAGGTTTGTTGGCGGTGTTCTGTGGCTTCAACCCTTAGCTCCTCTTCCCACCATGCCCTCGGACGCTGGCGCTGGACCACGAACACACCACCTCCTCCTTCTCCGCCCTCTCCTCCTCCTCGCCCTCCTCCTCCTCCTCCTCCTCCTCCTCCTCCTCCTCCTCCTCCTCTTTCTCTCCCCTCCTCCTCCTACTCCTCCTCGCCTCCCTCCTCCTTCCTCCTCCTCCTCCTCCTCCTCCTCCTCCTCCTCCTCTTCCTCCCCCTCATGCCGACCTCGACCGGGACCGCAGAGGGCTCCGGCCCTCCCGCGCAGGCCCTGGAGGTCTCGCCACTTCGGCGTACAATGCGCGTTCTTTCGTTCGTTCGGTCGCTCCTGTTGCCAACATGTCTTCAGTTGTAGTCAACATTCGACTAGACGTAAGAGTGGCTGTTCGCCGGAGTGACCTCTGGTGCGGGCACAGATGGGCCCCCAGATGGCTGAAAACGAAGCGGTAGCAGCGGCTCGCGCGCCGAGGTTTGGTCTCCCCGCGGCCCCCAAAACGCCGTGCACCAAAGGTCACTCTTACCCAGGGTCACTCTTGCGTGTAGTCGAAGCATGCTGATTTCCCAATGTCAGATCAGGTTGTCTTTCAGATCGCTGGTGCTCCCTCCGCTGCGCTGTCTCATTCCTTGTGCTTCCCGTCGGCACCTTTTGTCGAGGCATCTTGTGGGCAATGCGAGCTCACGAACTGCGGCGAGAATGCGACTCGTGGAAGGTTGACCTGGACGGCTGCTTAGACAAGGCCCCCCTGGCCAGCGCGTGCGCTCGGACGAGACAGGGTAGACCAGATGGGGTCACGTTAGCACCAGGCGCTGGGCAGCAGAACGCGTGTGACATTCGAGGCAGGTGTAGACGTGTGCGGCCAGACGCAGCAAAGGGTCGGGATATAGGGCCCACGGCGCGTTGCTTCGCCGCGCCACCGGCTCTCTCCGCTGTGCACATACGCTCTCTCGCGGTCGCGTGGACCTGCTGCCCCTCCTGCGAGCACGGAGCACTCTGCAGGAGGTGCGGCGCTGGAACAAACTTGCACTTCAGATGTGCTCCCGCGGTTCCCGCTCTCCCTCCTTCGGGATCCCGCAAAGGGTATGTGTGTGTGTGTGTGTGCCCTGGGGTGTGTCCGAGTTCGGTCGGTTGTTGCACCGAACCGCCCGAAGCAGATGCCCCTCAGCCGCCGCCAGCTCCCGATAGTTGCCGATGGGTGGGGCATGCGGCAGGCATCTGTTTGCGGGAGTTCGGTGCACCAGCGGATCGAACTCATGCCCCCCCCTCAGGGTCACCCTCCCTTTTTGGAGGATCCCGACTCCTCTGGGTCTAGGGGTCTGCTGCATAGTCCTGCTTCGGCATGTTGTCCCACCCGCACCTGCAGGTCCCTGGCGATGTCCATGTGATCCGATCCAGGAGAGGCCTCCCGAGCAGAGAGGACGTGGCAGGAAGCTGGGCGGGCTGGTCTGCGGGTGTCGTCGCCGTCTCGCTTGGCCCGTTCGTGGTGCAGATGCTTCTGCGGCAGGTTCTCTCTGGCCCAATACGAGAAGAGTCACCGCACTGCTCGGATTGGCACCGCGAGGACCATGGCACAGTGCCCGCGGGAGCGAGCGGAAGTGGCGGCTTCGAGATGGGCGGAGGTCGAAGTCTACCCATTCGGAGGGGGAGGTCGGTGTCGGCGACCCCAGGGCTTCCAGAGCTGTTCGTTCGGCCCCCTGATCTTCATCGGCATCCCGCTCTTCCCGGGCTCGTGCATAGTGCTTCCATGTCCCTGATGCGATCAGGCTGACGTGGTCAGCGCCTTGCTGGGCGCTGTGGCCAACGCGAAGGCGAACGAGGATGGATGCGCTCTACGCGCTCCCTCCGCGTCGGCATCGAGTCCTCGCCTCGATGCGTCGGTCGGTTGCACTGCGTGTTTACCCCCCTCCTGCCGCCCACACGTTCGCCCCCCTCAGGGCCCTTCAAAAGGATCCACCAGGGGCCTTGTCCGAGGGACGGGATCTCGTGCTCAGCTTCGACGTCGACCGGGCTGCCTCCCCCCCCGCCCGTGCACCGCCTCTCCTACGCGCCCCGCGCCGAACCCCAACCGTCGTTATGGCACTTCTGTGTAATATGTACATGTACTTTTTAATGTATACATCTGCACATATATTCGCTTCAGGAAATCCGCGTGCAGGAGCGAGCTCACTGCGCGTGCGCATCGTCAGGCGCAGTCCGTAACGGTTTGACGTCAATACGCCGCATGGAACACCGATTTATGCGGAGACGCTGCGCGCGCTTGGGGTATGCTCGGTGCCTTCACCGAGATCATTCCGCATCTCTTTCGGATTTCTCAGAGTGGCGCAGAAGTTCTTGCAACGGAGGCCGCGCGAACTGACCAGCATCGCGCGCAGTGCGTCCGTAGCCATTTTGGCTCAAGGCGATCGTTGGCTCGGGCACTCTTGGCTTGCACCTGCTGCAAGAGACCTCTTGCAACAGCCACAGCTCCTGGGCTCTGCGCGGCGCCATGTCCTCCCGCCGCGGGGGACACGGCGGAGGCCTCTGCGGGGGCCTCGGCCGGGGCAACGGGGCGTACGGCCCCAGCGGTGCGTATGGCGCTGCTGGCCCCTGCGGCGCCGGCGCCGCCGGCGCCGCCGGCGGCACGGACTGTGCGACCGCATGCTGCGCCATCACTGGCGCCTGCACGGGCTGCGGCCCCGCTTGCGGCGTGGCCTATACGCCGAGGGTTCCGGCTGCGGCGCCAGCGGCAGCACGACTCTTAGCTGCGTCGGCGCGGGGGGCGACTACGTCCGGGTGGGGGGGGGGAGGGCTTCTCAGAAGCATCCCTGCTGCTTAGAGGGCGCGGGCCTTGTCTACAATAGATGTACGGCCGGCGCCTCCTACGAAGCAGCCTCCTTCTAAGACGCCCTCCCCCCTCCCTCCACCCCCCTCGGGTGAAGTCGGGCGCGTCCCCCTACAGGGGGATTTTCACCGAAACATGCAAAGTACCCCCAAAAACAGTCCAAAGCTAGTCCAAACATAGCATGGCGATTATTTTGGGGGTATTTGTTTGACCTTTTTGGGGTATGTTTGGGCTATTTGTTGTGTTTTGATTGTTTGTTTGTTTGTTTGTTTGTTCGTTTGTTCGTTCGTTTGTTTGTTTGGTTGTTTGTTTGTTTGTTTGTTTGGTTGGTTGGTTGGTTGGTTGGTTGGTTGTTGTTGTTTGTATATAAAACAAACATCGTCGAACATCCCCCTGTATGGGGGACACGCCCGACAGAACCCTCGTGCGCGCCGCTGATCTGGGGACACCAGCGCAGGCCCTCTCGCGCGAGCAGTCTCTCTCGCTCGCGCCCTTCCTTGGTCGTCCTGGAGGCCCCTGAGGCGCGGACGGCTCCCGACGGCCTCTGGGGCGATGGGGAGGCCCTGGGGGCGCCAGAGCAGGAGGAGGAGGGGAGGGCCAGAGGAGGAGGAGGAGGAGGAGGAGGAGGAAGAGGAGGAGGAGGAGGAGAAGGAGGAGGAGGAGGAGGAGGAGGGGAGGGGCCTGAGGAGGAGGAGGAGGAGGAGGAGGAGGAGGAGGGGAGGCGGACGGAGGAGGAGGAGGACGGAGGAGGAGGAGAAGGAGGAGGAGGAGGAGGCGGAGGAGGAGGAGGAGGAGGAGGAGGAGGGCCAGAGCCTCCTATGCTCGATGCGCGGCCCGGTTCCGCCCCGCGTGGTCCGCCGCTGCCCCCGGCGGGGCGGCAGAGGCCCTGCGCCCGCCGCGGCCCTGCCGGGGGCGGAGCGGTCGCTGCCCGGCCCGGTCCACGGCCAGCAGAGAAGGAAAAGGTACCCATACAGTCGGGGCGTGGACCAAAGGAACCCCAAAGAAGGAACGAGGCCCCTGGTTCCCAAACGTTACGTTGTGCTTCCCCATGGGGAACGACAGGGAAGCCCAAGGCAAAACTCTGCAACGAGCAAAGAACACCGAGCCCCTCCCCCACGAAGAGGGCTTCTTCCTCAGCGCCCCGACTGTACCTCTACCCCTCGCCCGTTGTCCCCTTTCTGGGCCTCCTGGAAAGCCCTCGTCGCCACCGCTGGATTCGTTTTGAAATCCTGGTCAGAACGCACCCCGGGAGATGCCCCAGGGTTGGCGGTATCAGTACCTTTTGGTTTCCCCAGATCACGCTTGCCCGGCGGGTGGCACCGGCATGCTCACAGAAGGCATCTCTCAGGAGTCGGCTCTCAAAAGTCAGCTCGCTAAGACAAACACAAATCGCGCGCGGCGCGCCAGTTCCATACAGTCACACACTTGGCGGCTCGCGTGGATGATCTGTTTCTCGCGCTGGTGTCCTGCAGACCAGAAGTTACCCGAAGTGACACCGAGCCCCATAGCTTTCTGAACGTTTACACAATCCCATCGAAGCCTTACATCATATGATTGCCAGCCAGCGTGGACTCCAAACCCTAAATCATTGCACTGTAGGTGCGGGAGCGATGTGGTGTCAGCTATGTGGCGAAAGATGCGGCAACGAGGCGGCACCAATGGGGCACGCGTCGCGACCCCGACACCCACCCAGCACATGAGGCGGCAACCAGGTGGCAAAACCGGCGCCTACCGGGCATCAGCCGAACCCCCGACACGCCCACCCAGCGCACGAGGCAGCATCGCGAGGGGGCAACTGGGCGGTGTCGGCCGGGCGGCAGACGAAACCCTGACACACCCACACGGCGCACAAGGCGGCAACGAGGCGGCCAACCGGGCACCAGCCGGAATCCAGAGTTAATTCGTCGCGGGCCTTTCTTTGATAAATCCGGGGCCCGAAACAGGCTTCCGGAGTCCCAGAACCCAATAACAAATGCCGTCACGATTTCTACAGTGGAGGTCTGGCTCCCCGGAATCTCGGCGTTGCGCTTTCGGTCTGGCATGAGCTCGGGTATGTTCCCTTGCAGGAGGAATAACTATCTAAGAATAGTGCACAAATAATCAGGTGACGATAATTCGTGCTCTTTTTCCCCTCCCCCAAAAATTCACCTCTTGGATGACATGCCTGACCCAAGTCTGGCAAGTGTCGGTGTCCCTGGTGCCGCGGAGGGGCGTTGCCGTACCCGGCCCGGCCCGATGGGGCCGCATGTGTGCCTGCACGGAGCACTGATCGGGTGTTGCTATACAGTCGGGGCCCTGAAGAAGGAACCCTTTTCGTTGGGGAGGTGCTCCGCGTTCCTTAAGTGTTTCACAGCTCGCCCCAGGTTTTCCTTATGTTTTCGATCGGAAATCGAAGTTTAACTTCTGGAAAAAAGGGGCCTCGTTCCTTATTTTGGGTTCCTTAGGTCAAGGCCCCGACTGTAGAAGCACCCCTGGCCCAGGGTACCCCCAGGATTCTCGGCGTGGTCCCGACGGGACGGCCTCCAGGGCACCCCTCACGACGCCCAGAGGGCCCTGTGGGCTCCAAGGTAGGAGGAGGAGGAGGAGGCACCTTGGGCCAGGGGCACTTCTAGCAACGTTGCGCCCGAACTGGGCAGGGCAGCGCTGGCGAGGGCAGAGACGAGCCCAGGCGGCTTGTGGAAGGTTTTTGTTCTGAGCTCTTGGCGTCGCAACCTGCGCGCCTTCCTTCTCTCGTGCTTTTCGGCATCCTATTCCCGCGCGGCCTCCGCGTCTCGGGCTCGTCGCTCCCGGTTCTCCGACGCCGTGGTGTTCTCCACGCGCGTGCCCCCGGGGATCCCGCGGCCGGGCGGCGCCGGTCTGCTGCCTGGCCGCGGGGCAGGGCCGCGGGCCCCGCAGGGCCGCGGGCGCGCGGGGGCGTGGCCTGGCCACGCCTTGCGCTGGCTGCTCTCGCTGCTGCTCTCCCCCGCGCTCCTCCTCCCTCCCCTGCTGCTGGCCTCCCCTCCTCCTCCAGGGCCACGGGGCCACCCCTCGCGCAGGGAGAGGGTGTGCCCCCCTGGGGTCCCCTCGACCCTCTTCCTTCTTGGTATCCTGTGAGGCTTTGCTCCATGGGGGGCCCCATCGGCTTGTTACAGCAGCGGAATCCCGTGGGCGCGGGGCCCTTTGCCATGAGCGTTCCTCGGGGCTGCTCGGGGCTCTCCACATTGCGGAGCCATGCAAACAAATGCCATGCCGAGCAACGTGTAGGAATGACGAGCAACACCAAACAAACCAAGTAATGTAAAGCCATGCCAAGCAACTGTTCCAAGCCACGCCAAGTAATGCCAAGCAACGAGTCCAAGCGGCGCGCAAGCAACGTCAAGCAATACAAAACACACAGATACCCATAATTGGGATCGCGCTGATTTCTTTCGACCATGTAGTTTTGGACACTCGCGGGGCCCGAAGCCCTAGTTCCCAGATGCCGAAGTGGATTATGTGCCCCAGCGATGGAAGTACCAGCGGCGGAAGACCCGAAGCAGCTTTCCAGAGTACTCGAGCGAATATAGCCCACTCTGCACGCATACGATGTTTCAGTAAAACTGTACGTCGGGAGACCACGCAGGAGACCAGGGACCACGAGCCGTGACCAGGGCCGCGGCCAGAGACCACGCGCTACCGATGCCGGATCGCGACACGCACTCACCGGCATCAACAGCCCTACCTCTTGAGGTCGACTGGACGTAAGAGTGACCATCCGCCGGAGTGACCTTTGGTGCGGGCCCAACGGGCCCCCCCCCGGTCGCGGAGCGCGAAGCTGCAGCAGCGGCTTGCGCGCCCAGGTTTGGCCACCCCGCGCCCCCCGCCAAGCCGCGCACCAGAGGTCACTCCTCCCTACAGTCGGGGGAGCGTAAGACCCGGGTTTGCCAGGACTCGGGTTCGCCATCGTTTTTTGACGACCGCGCCTCGGATTTTGACAAGGAGGAGTTTCGTGGGATGTCTGCAGCGGGAGGCCTCGTCAAAATGCAGGCTCGGCCTCGTCATTTTTTTGACGACCTCGTCGGGGATTTCCGAGTCCCCCGTACCCGGGTCTTACGTCCCCTTGATACAGGGTCACTCTTGTGCCTGGCCGATGGGGACCCTTGCAGATCCGCTTTCCGAGCAGCGCGGCACCCGAGGCCCGTGCGCGTGTCTGCGGCGCAACCGCCGCCATGGGAGGCCCCGGCGCAGGCCCGCCCAGACCCGACGTCGCGCCCTCCCCGCTCGACGCGAGCGGGTGCAGGAGGAGGAGGAGGAGGAGGAGGGGGAGGAGGAGGAGGGGGAGGAGGAGTGGGAGGAGGAGGACGAGGACGAGGAGGAGGAGGACGAGGAGGAGGAGGAGGAGGAGAATGAGGAGGAGGAGGCAGAGGAGGAGGAGGAGGAGTGAGGAAGATGGAGGAGGAGGAGGAGGAGAAGAGGAGGGAGGAAGAGCAGGAAGAAGAAGAGTAGGAGGAGGAGGAGGAGGAAGAAGAGGAGAGGAGGAGGAGGAGGGGCCTCCCCGGGCCCGGGCCCCCCCCCCGCCCGCGCCCGACGGCCTCCGCCGGCCGCCGCGGGGCCGCCGGTGCACCGCCCGAGCTCCGCGGGGCCGCCTTCGGGGCCGCCGAGGGGGCCCTCCCCGCGGGAGCGCCTTCGGGGCCGCCGAGGGGGCCCTCCCCGCGGGAGCGCCGCGGGGCCGCCGAGGGGCCTCCGCCCCGCCGCGCCGCGAGGAGGGCCCGCGCGGCGGGCGGGCGGGCGGCGGCGCGCCGTGCCTGCGGGACCTGCGGCGGGAGTGCGCGCTGCGCGGCGTGGCCTCCGCCGGCATGGGCCGGGAGGCCCGCGCGCCGCTCTCTCTCTCTCTCTCTCTCTCTCTCTCTACGGCACTGAGCGACAGAGCAGGGAGCACAGGGAGAGACAGCGAGAGGGAGAGAGAGAGAGAGAGAGAGGGGGGAAAGAGAGAGAGAGAGAGAAACACAAATTATCCAGGCAAAGCAACCTCACAGCGATGTGTAGGAGCAGATTTGGAAGCATTCCCCTTAAGATTCAGATGAGAATCCAGTGGTAGAATTCTGCTGTTCTCGCAGTCGTAGTCGCATTCGCGATGACAGTCGCAGTGGCAACGGCAGTCGCAGTCACAGCCTCAGCCTCAGCCTGCCTCAGCCTCAGCCTCAGCCTGCCTTCAGCCTCAGCCTGCCTCAGCCTCAGCCTCAGCCTGCTTCAGCCTCAGCCTCAGTCTGCCTTCAGCCTCGGCGTCAGCCTCAGGCTGCCTCAGCCTCAGCCTGCATCAGCCTCAGCCTCAGCCTCAGCCTGCCTCAGCATCAGCCTGCCTCAGCCTCCGCCTCAGCCTGCCTCAGCCTCAGCCTCAGCCTGCTTCAGCCTCAGCCTCAGTCTGCCTTCAGCCTCGGCCTCAGCCTCAGCCTGCCTCAGCCTCAGCCTGCATCAGCCTCAGCCTCAGCCTCAGCCTGCCTCAGCATCAGTCTGCCTCAGCCTCAGCCTCAGCCTGCCTCAGCCTCAGCCTCAGCCTCAGCCTGCTTCAGCCTCAGCCTCAGTCTGCCTTCAGCCTCGGCCTCAGCCTCAGCCTGCCTCAGCCTCAGCCTGCATCAGCCTCAGCCTCAGCCTCAGCCTGCCTCATCATCAGCCTGCTTCAGCCTCAGCCTCAGCCTGCCTCAGCCTCAGCCTCTGTCTGCTTCAGCCTCAGCCTCAGTCTGCCTTCAGCCTCGGCCTCAGCCTCAGCCTGCCTCAGCCTCAGCCTGCATCAGCCTCAGCCTCAGCCTCAGCCTGCCTCAGCATCAGCCCGCCTCAGCCTCAGCCTCAGCCTGCCTCAGCCTCAGCCTCAGCCTGCTTCAGCCTCAGCCTCAGTCTGCCTTCAGCCTCGGCCTCAGCCTCAGCCTGCCTCAGCCTCAGCCTGCATCAGCCTCAGCCTCAGCCTCAGCCTGCCTCAGCATCAGCCTGCCTCAGGCTCAGCCTCAGCCTGCCTCAGCCTCAGCCTCAGCCTGCTTCAGCCTCAGCCTCAGTCTGCCTGCAGCCTCGGCCTCAGCTCAGCCTGCCTCAGCCTCAGCCTGCCTCAGCCTCAGCCTCAGCCTCAGCCTGCCTCAGCCTCAGCCTCAGCCTCAGCCTGCCTCAGCCTCAGCCTGCCTCAGCCTCAGCCTCAGCCTGCTTCAGCCTCAGCATCAGTCTGCCTTCAGCCTCGGCCTCGGCCTCGGCCTCAGCCTGCATGAGCCTCAGCCTCAGCCTCAGCCTGGCTCAGCATCAGCCTGCCTCAGCCTCAGCCTCAGCCTGCCTCAGCCTCAGCCTCAGCCTGCTTCAGCCTCCGCCTCAGTCTGCCTTCAGCCTCGGCCTCAGCCTCAGCCTGCCTCAGCCTCAGCCTGCATCAGCCTCAGCCTCAGCCTCAGCCTGCCTCAGCATCAGCCTGCTTCAGCCTCAGCCTCAGCCTGCCTCAGCCTCAGCCTCAGCCTGCTTCAGCCTCAGCCTCAGTCTGCCTTCAGCCTCGGCCTCAGCCTCAGCCTGCCTCAGCCTCAGCATGCCTCAGCCTCAGCCTCAGCCTGCTTCAGCCTCAGCCTCAGTCTGCCTTCAGCCTCGGCCTCAGCCTCAGCCTGCCTCAGCCTCAGCCTGCATCAGCCTCAGCCTCAGCCTCAGCCTGCCTCAGCATCAGCCTGCCTTCAGCCTCGGCCTCAGCCTGCCTCAGCCTCAGCCTCAGCCTGCTTCAGCCTCAGCCTCAGTCTGCCTTCAGCCTCGGCCTCAGCCTCAGCCTGCCTCAGCCTCAGCCTGCCTCAGCCTCAGCCTCAGCCTGCCTCAGCATTCAAAATGTGGCCCGGGAGTGTAGTTCTGGGAACTCGAAGAACACGAAGTGGCCTACATTTGGATCTGGGCATTCAAAATCATGCCCGGGAATGGAGTTCTGGGAACTCGAAGAGCACGAAGGGCCTACAGTTGGCTCGGCATTCAAAATGGCGGCCCCGGGACTCCGGGACCCCCGGGAAGGGAATGGAGTTTCTGGGAGCGAATTCGAAGAGCACCGACAAGTTGGACTACAGTTGGTTCGGGCATTCAAAATACAATGCAATGAAGGGAGGTTGGGACTCGAAGACCACCCTTCTGAGAACCACGGGTGCTTTTAAAACGACTTCCCCCCTCCCTCCCGGCACCCGCCAAGACCCCCTTGGGGAGTCAAGATGCTTTCTTTTGACACTACTAGAAACCTATCAGTCTTCCCTGTTAGGTAAATAACGAAAGAAACGCAGGCAGCCAAGGATCCACAGACGCCCCCCAAGCCCCCTGGCTACGCGGGAAAAGGCACTCGCTGTCCACGCCGCCGCGGCATGTGTCCGTTCGAGACAGGAGGCTGCCTGCCCAGCAGCGGCCGCTGCTGGTTTGGGGCAACAGTTGTTGTTGGGCATGGTGCCCATGTTTTCCGTACCCATTTCGGGCGTCCAGATCTCTGGAGGCGACTGATTATAGGAAGGGGAGCGGTCCAGGGGCGGCCATGGCACTCCGTGCAGGCCTCCCAGATGGGGCTCTCGAGGAGGGGATCGCCTATACAGAGGGGATGTGCCCCAATCTTGCTCTCCTCGGGGATTATCCTGGCAAAGCAACCTAACAGCGATGTGTAGGACCATAATTGAAATTCCCCTTAAGACTCAGATGAGAATCCAGTTGTAGAATTCTGCTGATTTCTCAGTCGCGGTCGCATTCGCGATGACAGTCGCAGTGGCAACGGCAGTCGCAGTCACAGCCTCAGCCTCAGCCTGCCTCAGCCTCAGCCTGACTCAGCCTCAGCCTCAGCCTGCCTCAGCCTCAGCCTCAGCCTGCTTCAGCCTCAGCCTCAGTCTGCATCAGCCTCAGCCTCAGCCTCAGCCTGCCTCAGCCTCAGCCTGCATCAGCCTCAGCCTGCCTCAGCCTGCCTCAGCCTCAGCCTGCCTCAGCCTCAGCCTGCCTCAGCCTCAGCCTCAGCCTGCTTAGCCTCAGCCTCAGTCTGCCTTCAGCCTCGGCCTCAGCCTCAGCCTGCCTCAGCCTCAGCCTGCCTGCCTCAGCCTCAGCCTCAGCCTCAGCCTGCCTCAGCCTCAGCCTCAGCCTGCCTCAGCCTCAGCCTCAGCCTGCCTCAGCCTCAGCCTCAGCCTGCTTCAGCCTCAGCCTCAGTCTGCCTTGAGCCTCGGCCTCAGCCTCCGCCTGCCTCAGCCTCAGCCTGCATGAGCCTCAGCCTCAGCCTCAGCCTGCCTCAGCCTCAGCCTGCCTCAGCCTCAGCCTGCCTCAGCCTCAGCCTCAGCCTGCTTCAGCCTCAGCCTCAGTCTGCCTTCAGCCTCGGCCTCAGGCTCAGCCTGCCTCAGCCTCAGCCTGCATCAGCCTCAGCCTCAGCCTCAGCCTCAGCCTCAGCCTCAGCCTGCCTCAGCCTCAGCCTGCCTCAGCCTCAGCCTCAGCCTGCCTCAGCCTCAGCCTCAGCCTGCTTCAGCCTCAGCCTCAGTCTGCCTTCAGCCTCGGCCTCAGCCTCAGCCTGCCTCAGCCTCAGCCTGCATCAGCCTGAGCCTCAGCCTCAGCCTGCCTCAGCATCAGCCTGCTTCTGCCTCAGCCTCAGCCTCAGCCTGCTTCAGCCTGAGCCTCAGTCTGCCTTCAGCCTCGGCCTCAGCCTCAGCCTGCCTCAGCCTCAGCCTGCCTCAGCCCCAGCCTCAGCCTGCCTCAGCATTCAAAATGTGGCCCGGGAATGAAGTTCTGGGAATTCGAAGAGCACGAAGTGGCCTACAGCTGGCTCCGGACATTCAAAATCATGCCCAGGAATGGAGTTCTGAGAACTCGAAGACCACGAAGTGGCCTACAGTTGGCTCCGAGCATTCAAAATCATGCCCAGGAATGGAGTTCTGGGAATTCGAAGACCACGAAGTGGCCTGCAGTTGGCTCCAAGCATTCAAAATTTTGCCCAGGAATGGAATTCTGGGAACTCGAAGACCACGAAGTGGCCTACAGTTGGCTCCGAGCATTCAAAATCATGCCCAGGAATGGAGTTCTGGGAATTCGAAGACCACGAAGTGGCCTGCAGTTGGCTCCGAGCATTCAAAATCATGCCTGGGCATGGATTTTTACGACTTCGAAGACCACGAAGTGTGTAACTGTTTGCTTAAAACGACTTCCGCGGGTTCTCCCCGGCACCCGCCCAGACCCCCCTGGGGAGTCAAGATGTTCTGTTCTTGACACTATTAGAAACCTATCAGTTTTCGCTGCTAGGTAAAATAGACCATGAAAACATACGTAGAATAGCACTTACGCCTACGAGCATTGTATCCGTAAGGGCTTCGCCCCATGCCGCCGGCCCTCTCTCCATCATAATGGGATATGACAGAGTCGCGTCGGTGCGTCTCGGCGCTGCCTTAGCGCATCTGGGAACAGCATGCGGGGACGGACAGGAGTCATCAGCGCATATCGAAACGTTAGCGTTATGCCAGTGGCCTTCGGCTTATCTCGCCGCCGTGCCTGGGTTGTGGGTCTGAGGCCTCTTGTATTGGGGAGCCTCTCGGGGGCCTCTTGGAGGCGATGCTTAGCGCCTCTTGGGGACCTCTTGGGGCCTCGCGGAGTACCTTTTGGGCTTCTTGAATGCCTCTTGGGCGCGTCTTGGGCGCCTCTTGAGGCCTCTTGTAGGAGATCGTGGCTTCGGGGGCGCGAAAGTGGCGCGATGTGCAAGGGATCGTGGCTTCGGGGGCGCGAAGGTGGTGTAATTTACCCGGGATCGTGGCCTCGGGGGCGCGAATGGGGTGTAATTTGCACGGGAGCGTGGCCTCGGGGGCGCGAACTTTGTATAATTTACGGGAGATCGTAGCCTCGGGGGCGCGACTGTGGTGAATGTACATGG